TGTAGGGTCATAAATTTTATGCTGTTTCAATTGGCTTACAGTTTTGCTGAAGAATTTGATTAAATTTGCCTCGAAAAAACTGTAACTTTTACTACTTTGGATTTTGATTCATGGCTTTATAATTTGGGTTAAAAATTTTATGCTGTTTCAATTGGCTTCCAATTTTACTTCATTTGGTTATGAGGATATGAAAGCTAAATCTCATAACCATGTTATTGGCATTGATTTTAAACGGTACGGTAGATCATTATTATCAAGAATTTTACGTGTATAATAATATATTATGACAGTAATGTTGTTTCTGGTTTAATATTGGTCGACTTTTAGGCATATCTCTCAGATGATGAATTCCAAACAGAACATTCAACAAGTTGCCGAAGTGGACGAAATTAGGGTTAGACATGGTCTGTTCGATTCGTTCGATTCAGTTTTAAAGAGAATCGAATCAAATCAAAATTTTTGAGTATTTAGTATGTGGAATTGTCAGCTCTAAATTTAATTATGAAATCGAATGGATCAGTTCTGTTCTGTTCGATTATGTTCGGTTCAGTTTCATTCGATTCCATACCATAGTTAAATTTTTTAACATTTACAACAATACTACATTAATCCAACTAATGACATTTTCAATATGAAATGCATACTAGAAAAGTGAAAATATTCGGTCAAAAAATAGTGAAAATAAAGGATACGGCAAGGTAGGTAGCTATTGAGAGAAAGAAAAACACGCAAATGCGTAGCTCACAATAAACATCTCTGACACTAGCTATAAAGCATAATGTTTATACATTGAGCATGAGAAATTAATAAAAATGAATTAGATGAAGCTTACCTTGATCAAAGTGGAGGAAATTCAATGAATATGACAGAAAAAATGGTAAGATGAAGAGAGGCGCAACCGTGCAGCGGTTCGATTATTTAAAAAACTGCAAAATGATTGAGAAAAACTTAGATCGCTCAATTTTGATTCTTTCAAATTTGAATTACAAAGTTGTGCTTAGGCTAAAATAGAAAAATGATATTCTGTGCTCAACTAATTAGTTGACAAATGACATGGGAAAAAATCAAAAAATGATACTTTTGGGCTTAATTAATTAGTTAGTAAATTTATTTAGAAAAATTAAAATAATTTAGGTTATTTAATAAAAAAATAGAGATATTCGGTTTTGGACCAGAACCGAGAGTCGAATCAAATCCGTTTATTCTCGGTTCTGGTACATGTTTGGGTATTTAATTAAAGAACAAAAGCTTGGTTCGATTTGATTCAACTCGGGTTTAGTTTGAGAGTTTTGTCCAATCCTATATGAAACTCTATTAATCTGGATTGATTTCTTGTAATTAAAAGAAGCATTCTACAAAATGATTTTAATAACATATCTAGATCATCGGATTACTTTTCACCAATAATCAAGATTATTTGTCAAAAACCCTTTGTCAAATATATTAATGGGCGAAACACTTCCCAAAATTTAAATTGTTAAAAGAAGTAAAAGAAAAAAAGAAAAATCTTCCAAAACACTGGTCACTTGTCCAAGAGACTAAATACAAATACTACATCATCATCATCTAGGTTTATGAATATAATAAAAAAATTGTACCATTGATCCTCTCTCTCTTCTTCGAGCAATAAATTGGTCATCAACTTTAAAAAAAAAAAAAAAAAAAAAAAGAGTTCGTTGGCCTTCAATCTTTTATAATAGTTGAACAATGAGTCTCTAATGACAAAAATATTAAAATCTATGTCAAATTATCACGTGAACTCATATATGTTTTATGTTTTAATTTGATATAGTGCCAAAAAGTTTGAAGTGAAGTGTGTCTCCATAATGAACATGTTACGATAATGAAGTCTAAACAGTTTTTGTTGATAAGGATTCAATTTGTAACTAAGTTGAATGGTTGGAAACTAAGTTGTTCTGACTAACTAATTATTAGTGTCAATCTATTCATATAAAATGAATTAAAAATAAATAATTAATAACAAAGTCATTATTTGACAAATTTATAAACCATTTACAAAGAAGAACAGTAAAAAGATAAATAGTAAATTGCATACAATGTGTGAATAATAATTATAAATATGTGATTGAAATTAATATTTGTTTTTTATTTATTTATAAACCATTTATAAATTAGCAACCAAATGGGGGTGTAAATGAATGAGATCATCCCACTATACAAGAATTACCGCTTGGAGAATCTAACAATTCTTCAATTTAATATTTGGCCACACACATTTTATACTAGAAAAGGGCATTAATTGGTCTTGCTAAAGTTGTCATATTCGTAGGTTGATGCAACCTAGTCTTTTTCTTATTTATATGTCTAAAAGCACCATGTTCATGGACCAACATGGTCCCAATAATTGACACATTTTGGTTCTTAATAATTGTTGACCTCTAATTAGGTGACCGTTCTAATATTCTATAATTTTAATTCATGATGTCATTTTCTAAATATCAAATCATAAATGTTTAATTGCTCATATATTAAAGTAATCGAATTGCAAGAATGAGAGAGAGAGAGAGAGAGAGAGAGAGAGAGAGAGCGAGCAATGTAAAAGTGACAAGTGGACGGGGTAAATTTAACATAAAAAGTAAAGTTACAAGAAGCTCTTGACAAACATGGTTATTATTTATTTAACTATGGAATATAATTAAAGATTCAAAATTATTGTGTAGAAACCATGTTTTTATGACTCTACAAGTTGTTATCAATATAAAAACTACCTCGAACGTTGATTCAAAACTCTTTAGTTAGCATTAAAGGATTAAATTATTATCGAATCAATGATAAAAGATATAATCATAAATAAATCGCCTGATTCAAGTTGAACCAATCAATTCTATGGTTATTTTGCGAGTTTAAGATTTTCTAGTTTTCCATAAAATTAAATTAGATTTTGAATTGATGTAAGAGATTTTTAACTTTAATTTTCATTCGTCGTTCAATTTTTTTATGATGATTTTAACTATAGCAAATAGGTTTGTAAATTACTATGATGTTGTGGCAATCATGAAAGAGTTTATTTGTTCATTGCACTATTACATAATTCTTATGAAGTAATATAACATATTCCAAGACTAAAAATATAACATCTCCACATATTTGTTATAAGTTCATATTCAGTATATAATATTATTTTTTACTAAATAATTTAATAAATAAAATTTAAATTTTTATATTGTTGAATACAATTAACTCACCTTGCTATATTTTTTCACGAAGAAATAGATAGAGCTCTCAATATTTTTTATTATTAATTTTCTTGACATGCAAAGCAATTTCATTTTGTAGGCATCATTGGGTAAATTTAATTTAGAGTCATTAAGCATTCTGAAAAACGTTTAATTCGTTTATTAAATTTTAATTTATCTTAATTAGGTCACTAAACTTAAGTTTGGTTTCAAATTTAGTTACAAACTTTAATTTTGTTTCAAATTTCATGACTTATCATTTGCATCTCGCCATTTGATGGAAAGTAGATTGGTAACATTGCTATTTGGTATGCTGATTTATAATTTCGACACGTCAAAATAAGAGTTATGATGATGATGATGATTTAATCCAAAAAGATTAACTTAACTTTCGGCCCTATTTGACCGTATTACTCCTAAAAAACAATATTTTAAATAGTGATTTTCAAGAAAATGTATGGTTAAAAATAAAAAGTTGTGTTTACCTGTATAATATTTTATCATGTGAATGCATAGTTCAAAATAAGTATGTAGAAGAAAAAAAAAAAGAATTTCCAAATAATGATCATGAAACAGAGGCGAATAATTTCATCACTTTTTTTCTATAGTGCCACATAGTGATTACAGAGAAGATTAGTTACTAGCCAAGTATTTTCTGTCTGTTTGGGGATGATAAGTGACAAAATGTTGTAGAGTGGTGAATTATCAAAAAAATTTGAAGTTTGGTGACCAAAATGATATAAATGAAAATTTAATGACCTAAATAAGATTTCATTAAAAGTTCAGTGACTGCAGATGAAATTTATCCACTTCCTTCTTGTTTTGATTTTATTATTGTGATTTGTGAGCTGTACCGCTCACCGGCATAGCCCACGGACTCGATTTAAACGGTGGATTGCTTTCATATGTCAATTTTTTGTCTAATAATCCCTCAAACTTTGGAAACTCATTCCCCCAACATCACAATTAAATTTTGAATAAAATACACATCCCATTCAATGTTTTAATCATTTAATTATGTCATTTCATACTTTAATAATTTTCATAAAAGTAAACTAGTAAATATTATTACTATTTGATAAAATAATAGTATCTTATTGAAAACATTTAAATGTGGTGTATATGTCTAATCAAAAGTCGATCGCACTTGACTTTCGATAATTGACATTGTCACAAACTATTCATTCGTGCAACAATAAATTGGGGAAAGTATAGTGACAACGTAAATGACTACTAGCCAATATTGACAATGCGAAGCATTGACCGAGTCATCGTGTGAAAAATGAGTTACCATGAACCAAGCCCAACTATTTTCATCGAGCAACTAGGTAAGACTACATCTAACTATAACCATACAAATGATGACTAGTTTGTATTGACGAATTTTGTTATCCCTTGTTTGGATTGACTTTTTAGTTGAGTAAAATTTAAGTCAAAGTGAACAATCAATTTTATCTACACATTTCATAGGATTCATGATTTTTCATCCATATATTTCATCAAATTTTATTAAAAATTTGCTAAAAATCTAACTTTCCGCTACACCGAGCAACTACGAGTTGAAATTTATGTTGCTATTATATGAAGTACAAACTACTTGATAAAAATGAAATTGGCAAACAACAATTTTATTATACTAACTTTGAACAATTTAAAAATAGTGAAAGTATTATTAAGAAATTTACGTCATTGGCAAGGAAAAAAGGAAGAGAAAACCAATCAAATTATAAAGAAAAAGTGAGATAAATTATTTAAAAACCAGAAAACGATGGTTTGATGTAGACACAAAATCCAACGGTTTAGATTCACTCCATACCCTTCTAAATTCTGCAAATCTCCACTTCCTAATCCTCCGTTCCTCCATTATCACCACCACCACACACCCCACTCCGCCCCAACCCCCCCTTTTTTCACACACACAAACGCAAATTTACATACACGTGCCCAGGGAATAATGTTGGGCAAGCGTGAGCGGCCTCCTTTTAGGAAGACAAGAAGCATATCAGGAATAAATGTTGCCGCAGAAGAAATTCCACCGCCGTTTGAACCTCGAAATCCGATGATCGGCGGTGGTGGATTTGGAGATGTAATTGTGGGTCCAAGTGGAAATGACGAAGGGTCAATGGCGATGATGCCTCCGGAATTCTATATGACGGCGGGTTCAGGTGATTCCGCTGCCGTGGAGGTGGCTGATTTCTTGAAGACCTGCGGCCTCTGCAACCGCAGTCTGCCACCGGGCCGTGATATCTACATGTATAGGTAACATCGTATCAGAACTCTTTTTCGCAATCAAATGACATGACATGAAATCAAATCAAATCATCCTCGGATTAAGCCCCGGAGTTTTCTATTTTGGACATTCTTTTGCCACCTCGTGGTAAACGTTAATTTTTAAACGGAAGGAGACAGAGCGCATATTGAAAAACGACGCTAAAATTCATAATCGAAGAAATTTAAATTTTAGTAACAGTTTGGAAACAACTTTGAAAGTATAGTGATCACTGATCACTTAAATTTTTACAGGGGCGATGCAGCATTTTGCAGCCTAGAATGCCGAGAACAACAAATAAAGCAAGACGAGAAGAAAGAGCGACGTGCCATGGCGAAGAAGGTTGATACTCATCACAACCACTCTAAGGTGGCGGCAGGGGCAGCGGCAGCCTCAGCCTCGGACACCTCCAGCAAGAGCGAGACAGTGGCGGCAGCTTAAGGATGGAAATTATGCTCACAGTCATCAATTAATTGTCAAATATTCACTACATAATAGTGTGTATTAGATTCGTTAATGTTTGATGACAAGTTTAGTAAGAAAGAATGGACGGCACTCAATAATATTGCGAATATTATTTGCACATTGTATGGTCTAGTCCATTCATGTTCTATTTTGCGTAGTATGAATATCTATATACAAATAAGTTCAGTTAAATTTTTATTTCTATTAAGAGGGTCGAGCGTTTATGATACTCGATTATCTACGGATGATTATATCATTAGATATTCAGTTTTCAGTGATATTTCAAGATCGTCAAATATTCATTTTGAATGTTATTTCAAGATAAAAGTCATATTTGTTTTGGATATATATTGGGGTTATTTTGAATGATGAAGTGTTAATGTAATAGTTAAAAAGTTAAAAGCAACTATGAGTGGATTCATTGGCAGGGAAATATTTAATAATTTAATTTAATTTTTATAGTATCATATTATAGCATTTGCAATAGTAAATTCCATATAGACATGTAGAGTGAGCCGTGATAGACAATGACGGAGATATTTGAGAATCCTTATTATTATAATTAATTTTTTGGATTTGTTGTCTAAAAGTTCAGATCAATTTTTTTATTGGAGATTGGGAAGCTTTAATCATGATTGAAATCTGGCCAACATTAAGTCAAATGTGTACAATCTACATCGCCCATCACTATTACTATCACCACCAACTGCAAAACCCTAGCTCATCCTAGCGAACATCACCATGCTAAGAACCAAGCCTCCACACCATCACCACCAGCTTCTCTCACCATAAACCATCTACCCCACCATTGGCAACCATTATCATCACCATTTTCTTAGGGTTGACAACAGTTCGATTTGGGATCGATTCGGTCAAAACTATCACTGAACTATCAATTTTTTTTACTATACCATAACTGCACCATAACCATATAAGTCGGTTCATTCCGTATCGCGGTTCAATTTGGTTTGTATCTCAGTTTGAGTGGTTAATAATCACGAACATGGGTGAATCCAGGATTTCGACCCAAGTAAGACGATCGTTGACCGTTAATAGTCAACATTCATATAGTGATGTAATTTATTAATATCAAATTAAATAATATTAAAAATTATTTATCTATATGTAAATACACTAAAACGTAAAAATCATATATTTATATCAAATTACAATACAATACAATTCGAAATAATATAAAATAAATGATAAACGTGACTTCTTTGTTTTATCAATGTTTAATAAATCGTTTGCTTGACTAGAAGTAGTTACGGGATTAGATGCACCATTACAAAAATTAGGTTGGGATATCAATTGAAAAAATAATTCCACAATCTGTATTAGAATTAAAATTAATTGTAAAATATAATTAAAGTTTCAATTTTCAATTCACAACACCAATTTATCACAAATTAGAAATTCCCCATTTTCTTATTTTCAATTTTCACAAATAATATAATCATGTTTCACAATACTCAAATTAATTTATAATATCACAATTCATAGTTGATATATTCTCAAATTCTCATATAACACATAAATAAATAAACACAATACTAAGTCAATTTAGCAAATAATATCCCAAATAAAAATGCAAACAATATTCTAATTCCCAAATACAAAATTTGACTTTAACAAATAATATTATTAACATAACAATACTAAACAATATTCTTGTCACTTGATCCTTATGCATCAAATTTGATTCCTACTCAATAACTCAACGCCAACCTCAATTCATATTCAATCTCCATTCATGAAAAGAATAATGGAAAGCCCAATTGTCCAATTTTTTTTTTTTTTTTAACAAGTACTTATAAAAAAATAAAAAATTTAACGGGTAATTGGTTCGAGGGGGTTGACGGTGTAAATAACATACCTGCCTCGTTCCGCTCCGAACCGGGTCATTAAAATCAAATACCATACCCACCACATTGCACCATTAGTTCGATTTTTTTTCGTCCCATTAGGTTCGGTTAACTACGATTTTCGATTTTGACGATTCAAATTGTCATCTCTACATTTCCTCCACCATCAACACAATCAACATCATCACCCACCATAATGTCGTTGTTGTCATCATCATCATTATAGTTAATTTTTTTTTCTTTTATAACAATATACCACATAGTCGAACATTTTTTCTAAAATTATGTATTCACTATAATTATTTTCAAATGAAAAAGATAAAAATATGTACTTAAATTTATGAAATTATAAAATAAAAGCATAGTTATATAATTGAAAAATAATTACCTTTAATGCATCCTACTCAATTTGGTTCTATCAATTTATTTTCAAAATATTAGTAAAAGTTGGATAAATAATCTATAATGTAATAGCTACTACAAAATTATTGTCATTTATGAAATTTGTATTATTAATTCTCAATTAATTAACATTCACATTAATCTAGAATTAATGAATTTTCAATTGATGAATCTTGAATTACATGAATTTAGAGTTATTATAGATGAATTTATTCATATTCATGTATTTGAAAATTTTAATGGGTATTTAAATTTATGTATTAACAATTAATTTTTATGTATCAAATGTTATATAAAAAGATTGTTCATTCATAGTATTTCATCATTACAAAAAATTTAAATAATAAAAATTGAGTTTTGAGAGTATAATTTTATTCTCTTAAGTTTCTATGTAAAATTTTATTTTCTTTAATTCGTCCAAAACTCATCAAATCCTCCAACAAATTGATATCAAATATTACTTTTACATCACTTAAAAGTATTTTAAAATGACGTACAATGCACGTTCAACGTCCACTAGTATAATTAAATATTGTTAAATTGGTATTTCAATTATAGATAATTATATAAGCCAAAAGCACAATTTAAAATCTATTCTTTTTTAGTTTCTTAAAGTCTGCTGTGAGACAATATATATTTTTCTGTAATCAACCACCTAAATTAACTTCTGATTGTTGAAGAATTAGATGTTTGGCTTCAAAATCAATTCAAAACAAGGCTTAAGAAGCTTTTATTAGACCAGTTTGAATAATTTTTTAGAAGTGATAAGTTTTGTTAAAGAAGCTTTGCAAGGAAAAAACCCAAAATGACTTTCATAAATATAAAAATAAAAATAAAGAACTCTTCTACGAGAAGTACAAGTGAAACCCTATCAAATGGTCCTAAATATAGTTCACTGCATAAATTTCTCCTACACTTTTTGTTTCAAATGGGTCGACCCACGTGGGCCTAGTAAAATTGAAACATAAGCAGTAATACTTATTTGAAGATTGGGCCCAATGATAGATATTTACCGTTTTAAACTAGGGATAATTAGGTAGGAAAATTAAACGAAAACGTATGTACACAAAAAAATAAAAATAAAAATTGAGACTCGTTTGACATGACTTTTGAAAAGCCAAAAGAAACTTTTGGCCCAAGTACTTTTGGTAGTTAAAGAGAGTTTTTATGGAAATTTGATTCAATATAACTTCCTCTAAAATCACTTTTGGAATGAAAAATACTTTTAAATATTAGTTTTCAAACAAAAATTAACGTAACTTTTTTCAAAAACTCTTCTATAAGAAGCAAAAGTTATGCAAAATGGGACCTTAGTAACTAATCCCATTATTTAATGATAATTATCATTATTGTTTCCGTTAAGATATGGGGTCCATCTTAATAAAGTCAACTTTGTTAAGTGAAGTAACCCAAAATCTTATAAATTTGTCTATATTTCAGTATTTAACCGATATGAGATTATATTCCCTTAACATGCCCCCACGAGATGGTGACTTGTTTGAGCAAATCAATCTTGAAATCCGTATACTCATTAATTGAGACTTAATCGAACCAAATCGCTCATTGAAATTTATTGGACTCTGATACCATGTTAAGATTTGAATCCATCTTAATAAGGCCAATATTGTTAAGTGGAGTAGCCCGAGATCTTATAAATTGGTCTACATTTCAGTATTTAACTAATGTGAGATTATATTCCCTTATTCTTCATCTCCACAAAATTTCCAACTGTTCCTGCATCAAGGATGGCATTTAAGAATCTACGATCCACCACTTGGCTTTCACCAAACACTTCAAATGGATTAAAGAAATTCTTGAATATCAGAAGCAATTTAGATTGATATTTTCAAGACCTTTTCTATGAAATTTGTCAAATTGTATAGACAATCAGACAAGTTTTAGATTGAGAACAAAATGTTTGATTGGATTCCTGACAGAAATTGTAAAAAAATTGTGAAGATATGAATGCCCTTTTTCTCTAATAACCAATTTTAATGCTTGAAGAATTTCATTTTCGAAGATTATGCAGAGTAGCAAGAACTCTTATATTGCTTGGGAAGGCTTTTTTTGAAGACAAAATTTATGCTTCAATCGGTCTTGAGATTGCTGATGAAAGTTTTATACATTTCTGGAATATTATAGGAATTGGGGGGGATATGTTATGGTAGTGTGTGTCAGGTTTCGTGGTGAAAGTGAGATGGGAGAACATATATCCTCTATGTTGTCTTCTATGACTCCAAAATATATATTTTTGTGCTCTAAATGTAAAAGAAATGTTTGTACTGAAAATGAGCTCTTCTCCTAGCAACTTCCTACACTAAGCAGATTTCAAGTGACAATATGTTGTTTGTAAACAATTTGACATGAAATTATGCTTGATTGAATTTTGAATTTTAAAATAGTTGAATGAATTTTAAGCCATTAAATTACCGATTGATCCCATTCACAGATATTCTTAGTTGAGCCTTTAAAAAAAATTTATACCGTGGTGTTTGGTTGTGTTAATTGTTGGTGATGTTTGGTAATATTTGAGGCGAAGGTAGTATTTATAGTCATCAATTTGTGTTGAAGGTGGTAGTGGTGGTGTATTGGAAGTTATGGTGGTGGTGACTAGTGGTGTATTATGATGCTGGTCTGTTGTATGTGCATATTTATTTCTTGTGACACTCTTTGATCAAGTATATGTTTATTGTGATTAGTTATGACCAACTTTGTATTAATTGTGACTTAATCACGTATCGTCACAATTAAGATTGACCTAATCACAAATGGTCACGTTGAAGATAAATTTAGTCACAGTTGATCTCGTTGAAAACAAATTTGATCACAGTTAGTCAAAAATAACACATGTTAGCGACTTAGTTGTGTACAGTCACAAATAAGACGTTTATAGACAATCACATTGAAAATAAATTTGGTTACAATTAGTCACAGATAACACACGTTAACGACTTGATTACATATAGTCACAAATAGATGATTATAGATAGTCACACCGAACACAAATTTGATCACATATAACATAGGTTTGATCACAAAAAATCTGATCATAGATAACATTGTCACAAAATCTCGGGTTATTCCATGGGGTGAAGTGTAATCTCCAAAAACCTTTTTAAGATTTTGAATTATTTTAAAGGTTGGGATGGGTGGGGTGAGTACAGGTAGTTCTGGGGTGGGTGTAATTTTCATAAAGGATTTTAAATTTTTGAAATTCTTTTACAAATTGGGGTGGGTGTGATACTGGAGTAGCGTGGGGTGTGGTTCCGGGATGGGGTGTAATCTCTAGAAAACATTTCAATTTTGAATTTTTTTTTGTAAGAGTGATGGGTTGGGTCTGTGAAGCAGGTGTGTGTAGAGATTGTTCCGGGCTACGGTGTAATTTTTATAAAAGATATTTACTTTTTAGAAATTTTTTTACAAGTTGGGGATAGGGGTGTAATCTCGAGAAATGTTTTCAATTTTTTTGAAATTGTTTACAGAGGGTTGGATAGAGTCCATGGGGGTGTAGTGGGATGTTATTAATTTGGTGAGAGACTATTAATTGGGCAGGGATAGTTAATTCCATCTAATAATTTCCAATTAATTATATATTATTAATTGGAATTAACACTTGAATTTGAAAAGTTTGTTAGTTCTGAAATGCAATTCGTACACGTAGGCGTTATGTATTGTACCCTAATTAGGCTCAATACTTTAAAAAAGAAGTAATTAGAATAATAAACTTAAAACCTAATTATGCATTTAATCTCCATATTAATTACGGTCAAATTCATCAAAAGCTAGGTGGAAACTCCTCTCCAATCTAAAAGGGATAATTCTTCATGTCAGAAAATGGTGTTCCCAAAATGCGAGGTTGGGTTCTTGGTGAAACTAGTGCGATCAATGTCAATTTCTATAGAGGATCCGATGAAGAATTATTCAAGAACCAGTTGAGATTTAAGAATGATAAATGAACTGTATAAATGGATTGAGAAAAAAATTGTGTTTAATCCCATGCTTAAGGATTGGCAATGGCAATCTATATTTAGATTTGGACCATTGGAAGTAGGGATTCTTCCCTATAATGATTCTGCAGTGGATCATATTGTGGGTACAAAGATTGGTGGTTCAACATTTTGATTGATTTGGTACAAGACAGTGCGAAGCACGCCTTTTGAGCTATGCAAATCCTTAAGCATGCTAGTGTGGAGGATTTTGCTAGCATCTAAATCTTTGTTTGTAGCGGAGGAATCAACTATTGGTGTGGTTTTCCAGGATAAAACGGGATGACACCACTCATAGTTATCACACTAGACTCGGTCATTGACCTGGGCAAATCATTGTGTCATTGGGTTGTGGTTGAACTGGTGGGTCATTGCAAGGTTGAACTTTAGTTATTTAAAAAAAAAAAAAAAGATTAAGTGAAGCATATATAATTCTCTCACGTTTATTGTTAAAACTCCATCAATTGCTATAGTTGTCTAGCTTCCCATAGTTCTCAAGTTGAGCAAAGGTTCAAATACTCCCAAATGCAAATTTGATGTAAAATTTTGCTTTCAACATATTTGGTAAGTATCTGGTTCAATCCAAATCGCATTTCAAGAGAAACCAGTCCTGTTCGAACGGTTCTTGATCGGTTGAAATGGTACTTAACTGATTCATTTGCTAATGAACCAATTAATGCAAATCGGAATGGACCACTATCTGGTTTGTCAGTTTTAAGGTCGATTTGATCCGATTTTAATAACTACGGTACCACAACGTCTTGGTGGAAAATGGTGAGATATTAATTATGCCGAGGCCCAAATTGCTGCTGCTGCTCTTGAGTGACATTGGACTTGAACTTTTGTTGTTATGGATACCTGTGGCGCATCACTTGCCTTATGTTGGCCAATCAATATATTATAATAGAAGAATGGGATCACAATTATGCCACCAAGGCCACCTGATCATGCTTTGATTAATGCACTTTTTTCTTTTCTTATTTCTATCACTTGTTTGAATTGAATCCAATGTTTTAATTGGTACTCTGTCACTTTTTTTTTTTAAATTTTTTAAACTTTTGTTAGTTTTTATCACTTTTCTGAATTTTTGTTGCTTTTTGAGTATGTCATTTTTTTTTTGAATTTTTCTCACTGTTTTTAATTATTTGTCATTATTTCTCTTTAAATTTCTGTCAATATTTTGAGTGACAAACATCACTTTTTTAATAAAAGTTGTATGTCATTTTTTAATAAGAAAGTGACACTTAACTTCAAAAAGTGACATATATCACTTCCTTCTTCTTCTTTTTTTTTTTTTAAATAAAAAAGCAACACTTCATTTTGTACAGTATTTTTTACTTCAAAAATACTTTTCATATGATTTTTGAAAAAACTTCTTTTGAACTTTTGTTGTTATGGATACCTGTGGCGCATCACTTGCCTTATGTTGGCCAATCAATATATGATAATACAATAATGGGATCACAATTATGCCACCAATGCCACCTGATCACGCTTTGATTAATGCACTTTTTTCTTTTCTTATTTCTATCACTTGTTTGAATTGAATCCAATGTTTTAATTGGTACTCTGTCACTTTTTTTTTTAAATTTTTTAAACTTTTGTTAGTTTTTATCACTTTTGTGAATTTTTGTTGCTTTTTGAGTATGTCATTTTTTTTTTGAATTTTTCTCACTGTTTTTAATTATTTGTCATTATTTCTCTTTAAATTTCTGTCACTATTTTGAGTGACAAACATCACTTTTTTAATAAAAGTTGTATGTCATTTTTTAATAAGAAAGTGACACTTAACTTCAAAAAGTGACATATATCACTTCCTTCTTCTTCTTTTTTTTTTTTTAAATAAAAAAGCAACACTTCATTTTGTACAGTATTTTTTACTTCAAAAATACTTTTCATATGATTTTTGAAAAAACTCCTAATTTTACGAGTAGTTTATTAAGTTGCCATTTAAACTATTACATATTGATATATAGGGAAAATTAGGCTCACTATCCTTAAAAAATAAAATATTAAATTAATACCCTTAAAATTAATTAGAACTGCAAATTTTCATATTAATTAGGCCCAAAATCCGGAAATTTCATAAATTGATTTTTTTTTTTGATTTGTGACTTTTTGTGTTTTTGTTATTTTTTAAATTTATAAAACTTTTTGTTTAATAGTTTTTTTTTCTCTCATTTTACTAGATTAAGATTTAATCATACCATGTGGATATTGGTTTAACGAGATGCGATATGTTACTTTTTTATGAAAAAGTAATATGATAATTTTTAGAAGTGATACTATTTTGAGTGACAAACATCACTTTTTTAATAAAAGTTGTATGTCATTTTTTAATAAGAAAGTGACACTTAACTTCAAAAAGTGACATATATCACTTCCTTCTTCTTCTTTTTTATTTTAAATAAAAAAGCAACACTTCATTTTGTACAGTATTTTTTACTTCAAAAATACTTTTCATATGATTTTTGAAAAAACTCCTAATTTTACGAGTAGTTTATTAAGTTGCCATTTAAACTATTACATATTGATATATAGGGAAAATTAGGCTCACTATCCTTAAAAAATAAAATATTAAATTAATACCCTTAAAATTAATTAGAACTGCAAATTTTCATATTAATTAGGCCCAAAATCCGGAAATTTCATAAATTGATTTTTTTTTTGATTTGTGACTTTTTGTGTTTTTGTTATTTTTTAAATTTATAAAACTTTTTGTTTAATAGTTTTTTTTTCTCTCATTTTACTAGATTAAGATTTAATCATACCATGTGGATATTGGTTTAACGAGATGCGATATGTTACTTTTTTATGAAAAAGTAATATGATAATTTTTAGAAGTGATATACGTCAACTCCTTTAAAAAATGGACGCACACTTTGGACTTCATAAATTTGTTGCCAAATTTAGCTTATATATAAATATATGGATATACCAATTTTATTGATGAAATTGCATATCACACTACAACAAAATGACTTTTTTATGACATTCATTTACGGTGTGCAAAAAATGCATGCAGTAAAAATAGATTATTTATGACAACTTCTTATAGTATTTATGACATACATTCTTTGCACACCGTGAAGACCAAATATATATGGCATTCATTTACGACATGCCGTGTTTTCTAAAAATGAAACTTATAAATTACTTTACTATTTATAGCATTCATTTTTGCATGCCATAAAATAATTGATTATTTTTGGAACAGAATTGAAATATATTGGAGCGTTAGATCTTTTACTTTAATTTTCCTTTTCTTTTCCTTTCCTTTAATTTTCATTCCTCTCTTTTTATTTTCTCCCCACTGTTTGTTTCTTCTCATTCTTCCTTCGCTTTTCTTTCTTGTGCCATTCAGTCATAACCCTCGCCCAGACTCAATTAGCCATAACCGTTCAATCAATTGTTGAGCCCACGATTTATTTATCGATCCAAGTCAGTCACAACCCAAGTACAGCTTCGAGGTATAGTTTATTGATTTTTGTTTTATATGGTTGCCATCGATTTGTAGGGGATTATTTTGAAATACAAATTGGGTAATTGGGTTGCTATAAATCCATTTATTAGCTTGTACACTTTACCACAATCATTAGTTTATTAGGTTTCTCTACAATCAGCTCTTTGAAACTTCTCTGATTAAAATCACCTCTCTCTGATGTCTTTGCGGGTTTTGAGTTGATTGATGATGTAATGATTCTATTTAATAAATGATTTTATATGTTAGATTTTGAAGTTGTATTAATCTGTAATAAAGTATATGTGAAGTTGCTTATGAATCAGAATTAATTCTGTTTAATTTTGTTATGCTATAATTATGTTTTACTCTGACACTATTTGGGGTTTACAACATATGTATCGAATGGAAAATATCAAAACATAGTTTTGGCTCATAAATAGAGGTGGTATGCATACTTATAAGAGGATTTGTGCTGAGGACATCATTTTTTATTGGGAAAAATACATTGCACCCGTCTTTTAAACAATACAATTCTTAAATCAGGTTATAACTTTCATTATTCATTAATCAAGTGATTAATATTAATAATAATATTTAAAATCAATTTATATACACAGTATCTCTAACCTAATCATTCAAACCCTATTCCTCTACCTTCTTATTTCCCCTACCATTTCTTGCTACCGTTTTCTATGTCACTGGAGACCATCTCTCTCTATCCTCTTCGTTGTGAGCGCCACGCCAACCGACGGAAGATGCTGTGAGTTCATGCAGATCTGTGCACAGCGGCATTGCCGCTTATATTTTTGTGATTTTGTTGTGGTGGTTGTGGTGTTTTGTGGTGTGCGGTGGTGTAGGAGGTGGTGGTTCTGTTGTGCAGTGTGGTGGTGATTTTGCCGTTGGTGGTCAAGCGCTTGGTTGGTAGGGATTAGAGTGAAATTTAAATGCGGTTAGAGGTGGTGGTGGGTTGTTGAGGCTATGTCGGGTATCTGTGTTGTTGGCGGCATCGGGGTATGGTTGTGGTGGTAATGGTGTTTTGGGGCTATTTTGATTTTCAGCAATGGTGGTGTCGGTGGTGGTGTTGACGCAACTTGTGGTTGGTGGTTTGGGGCTTTGGTAGTTTTCATCAGTGGCGACGTCAGGGGTGTGGTGGTGGTGGTAGTAGTAGTGGTTTAGGGGTGGTTTTGGTGTTGGGGGGTTTTAGGTGGGTTTTGTTTATTGTACAGGTAGAGATGCTTGCGGCAAGGATTTGGCGATGGTTTTTATTGGTAGTGCAGGTGGCGATGTTGACAGTGGTGTTGGTGGCGACAGTCGTAGGGAGAGGATGTTCGCAATTGGCGATAGTGTTGGTGAGGGTGTTATGTGACCAATTGTTTGGTGTTTGTGACCTTAACTGTGAATTAAGAATTTGACAACTTGTGACTGAAAAATAATATGTGACCAACAAATTTGAAAATATGTGACCGTTAGATAAATTGTGACATATAATTTTTTCTAATTTGTGACTAAGGAAATAAACTGTGGCTTGTAAAACTCATGATTTGTGACATCGAAATAATTTGTGACTTTGATTTGTAATCTTGAAATAATTTATGACCAATTAATTTGATAATATGTGATCAGTAAAAAAATTGTGACCTGTAATTATGTAATCGTGACCATTAATTGTATAACTTTTATTTTATTATGTTTAATTAATAAATATTTTTAATTAATTATATATGTACCTGAAGTTTGAATTTTTAAACTATATACCTCACTTTTGAATTAGTGTAAACTATACACTTGGGTTATGATTTTTTTTCCCTTTTTTTATTTATTTCTAGTTGAACTTTATTTATATTCTAGATTCTATTTATGTAATTGGGTTTGTATTGGTCCAAGCCCGTTCTAGTTAGAGTTTTGTTTTTACTATTTAAACCTAATTTGCCATGTAATTTCATTAGTTTGATGATTATGATGAAGTAAGATTGGTTGTGGCATTTCTTTCCTTTCCCTTCTCCTCTGCTCCTTGAATTTCTACTTCTTCTCCGATTTCTCCGTCCCTTCTCACTTCTTCTTTCTATTCTTTAATTTGTCCTACATCAAATTTGATATTAAAGCTAAAAATTGGGTAACTTATCTCCTACAATAAAAAATAAAAAATAAAAATTTCCTTTTCCTTTTCCAAAATTTCTTCCTATCCTCTCCAAAAAATTTCTCCCCATCAGATCAGCACAAACAAAAAGAATTTGTTGTGAGGCAACAATTTTTCTTTTTCAATTTGCATTCCTAGTTGCAAAAAAAAAAAAAATAAATAAATAAATAAATAAATCGTGTTTTTGTTATTATACAAAAATAAAATCCACAAATCCCCAAGCCCAATACCCATCCCCATATTACAGATAGACCCAACCCAGTAATTTCAGAAATTCGAGCAGGAAGTCATCGATCTCTATTTATTATTGGTTTATACTACTGCTTCATTTTTAAAATCGCATCATTTAAATCTTTGTGTTGTTGTTACTTTGATGTTTTAGCCTTATACCCCATTTGGTCGAAATAATTGAACGAGATGACTTCCCATTGTTCCCCACTTGTCAACTTGATTTGAGAATTTGACTAATGTTTGGCCCCTTGCTTTTGCTATTTTACATATATTAATAGTATTATTTTTCAATATTTGAATTTGCTTAATCCCAAAAAAAGAAAAGAAAAGAGAGATTTAAAAAAAATGCTCAAATTTATATTTTTCATTGCTTGCACTTATTGTTCATTGATCTCACAATTGCACATCATTTAGCTACTAATACAGTACATGCATGGTGGTTGACTGGTCGTCTTGTCACTTCTAGTTTCAGTACCTAAACATGGACCCTTCACAATTTGATGAACTCACTCAACAAATAGCAGCTATCCAAATCCAGATGACTGCTATTCTTGAACAGAATAAGGCCCTCTCTGCTAGTCTGAACAACATTAAGCAAATCCCTCATTCGGTTGATGTTAATAATTCTGAAGTGTCTCACAATAGACGATATCCTCGTCGACAAGGTGACCAAAAATATTTTCAACACGACATAGGGATAGGGATCAAGTTCATGAGCGAGAATGAGGCCTTGGTCGTCATGGCACTCCCTCTCTTCCTCGTCATAATGAGCGTTTCTTTAGAGACATTAAATTAAGTACTCTTACGTTCGATGGTTGCTTAGACTATGAAATTTTTACTTAATGGAACACCTTTACACAAAGAAATCGGCTAGTAACTGAGTACATTGCTCAATTTGAGGAATTTCGAATGAAATGTCAAGTCGTTGAGGATGATTCTCTGACCTTGAGTAGGTTTATGTAAGGTTTAAGATATGAACTTAGGTGTAAGCTTTTCTTTCGAGGAGTCACTACTCTTAATCACGCTTATTCTTTAGCCCGAGACTATGAGTTGATTATTAATCCTCCATATGAAAGGCGTGATCACCATCATTTACCCATCTCATTAGTGCCATCTCATCATAAGTCTGTCATAGAGCCTTCCCCGTCTAGTGTTCCTCCCATTTGGAAAAATAAGTGTAAATGTTGTAATCGTCCAAGGCCTTTTTTTCGGTATAGAAGGCGTATTGACAATCATTCTTCTGTTTCATTGACGCCACCTTCTTCTGTTAAGTCCCTTCTAAGACCTTTCCTGTCTAATGTTTCTCCTCTTTTGGAAAATAAGGGTAAAATTTTTGAAATTCAATAAAATTTTTGAAATTCAAAGGGATTCTTCTCACTTGCAGTACTTCAACTGTAAGGACTTTGGCCACATTTCTTTTGAACGTCCTAGCCGAGCCTTACTCATTGAAAAATAAAAGAATATAAGAGATGAGTGATTAGAAGATCAAATTTATGAACCTAAGCTTGAAGAATTTGATGTCTTGGATGATAGTGAGAATACTCCCTCAGATAGTATTCGGCCTTTTCCTATGAATCTAGGTATTGTTCATCTTGTTCCCGATGCCTCTCAGGCAAATGTTGTGTATCATACTCTTGTCCAACCGAAAGGTATTGACGATTTGTGTAATCATTCCCTTTTCAAGGAAAATCTTGAAAATTGGGATTTGACTCTCCCAACAGGCCAAATTACCTATAACAATTTTGTGAATCGGTCTATAAGTACAAGCCCCTTTGAAGTTATTTATGGTTATAAACCTAGGAAAACCTTGTATCTTATTCAAATGTCCCCATATGCTAGTATATCTATGTCAGCTGAGGCATTTGTATATCACTCCCATAACTTGCATATTGAGATCAGTAAACAACTTGAAGTAAGTAATGCATCATATAAACTTCGAGTTGATTTGCATAAACAAAATTTTGAATTTAATATCGGGGATTTTGTTATATTGCAAGCTTGTAGTGCTGGTCCTTGTGAAATTTTAAAGTATGTTGGTCCAAATACACATGTCATTGATCTCTCATCACATTTTGGCTACCACTCTACTCCAAATAATGACGACTTCATTACTGACAAACACCGTTTCACTTCACTTGATGATTAATTTCTACTTAGTTTTGTGGATCCCCAACTTGACTATATTGATATTTATACTTCAATACCATCTATCACAGCACAAAAAGATAAAATTGATATTATTTTAGATGAACAGGTTGTGTTGACCAATGATAGAGAGATTCGGAGCTTCCTTGCTTGTTGGGTAAATCGGCCTAATTTTAGCTGCACATGGATTCCAAGAGAGAGGTGCTAACTAATACGGTTCAAAGTGTTTTTGGAGTTTCGATATTTAGTTCGTCAGAAAGATTGTCCTCCGTGGCATGACTTGAAGCTTTTGAAGTATCAGATTGACTGCAGCCTATAGTGATCTATAAACTCAATAAGGTCGAGTTTTTCTTCCACCCAAGGAGAGTTGATGAGGACATCATTTATTTATTTATTTCTAGTTGGACTTTATTTATATTTTAGATTCTATTTATATAATTGGGTTTGTATTGATCCAAACCCATTCTAGTTAGGGTTTTATTTTTACTATTTAAACCTAATTTGCTATGGAATTTCATTAGTTTGATGATTATGATGAATTGAGATTGGTTGTGGCATCTCCTTCCTCTCCCTTCCCCTCTCTCCCTTGAATTTCTACTTCTCCGGTTTTTCCCTCCCTTCTTGCTTCTTCTTCTATTCTTTAATTTGTCTTTAATTTGTCCAGCATCAACTTGTCTGTTTTTTTATTTTTTTTATTTTTAAAAAAGACTTAAAATTTATTGTGTATTGCCCAGGAGTCTGGGAATGTGATGCATATAAATTTTTTGTACCCACTTTTAATGATAATTTAAGTTGCTTTTGGCTTTATAGATAAGAGACTTAATGTAAAAGACAACACAACTGATACATGAATATCACTGAATGCTATAAGGATGATTGACCGATACGCTTGGATTTTATAGACACAGAACTGGTGCTTAAAAGGGGGAAAATTGAATTTTATTTATGGAAGGATTTCATGAGATTTTGGGTTAGCCTTTCTGTCTTGTGTTTGTATGCTACTAATACTTTATTCTCTATATTTCATTAACATTTTTACTGTCAATGGTGTTTCAACTATTTAATAATATGTTAGACACGCGCATTTCCCATCATTCATGGCCCGTATTTTGATTCATATTATGCTTACTTAGAATCTTAGTGTAGAATAATATTTACTAGACATTCTAAATAGCGAAGTTTCCTCTACCTAAGCCTTTAAGTTTGTAAATATTTATACAATCTTTTTATTTTATTTGAGTTGATCACTAAGAGTACTGGAGATTGTGTAGTTTGACTTGCCCAACCTATGTTAGAGCGATCGTGCTTCTCCTCTCATTAGATACGACTATTCTGGAGTATTACAACCAGCCCAGAATCATTCATTCTCTGTCTCTTAAAGCCAAGTTTTCATCCGTCCATTGCCTCACATGTTTAACTTTGAAACTTTAAAATTTCTTCTTGTTCTCCTCTGAAATCGTTTAAAATCAGTCTTGAGACTCTCTCTCTCTCTCTCTCTCTCTCAAATTCTACTGTCAGAATCAAACTTAGGTTTATATCACGAAAGAGTTAGGCCCCGAGCATTATCGTACATGAACCCGTTGAAGTGTATTCACAAGTTGCTTAATACATTGTAAAAAAGTTGATGCTCTTTTCAGTTTTAACCAATTAAGCTAGTCTTTCTTACTGGAAAATTTCTTGCTATTTTTTTTTTCTTTAAATCAATATGCTATAATAGGTTATATCTTAATAATGTTGGTATAGCATCATGGATAAAGATTGGGTACACCTATTTTACCCTCTTAAATTCAGAAAATTTATAAACATGTTCGTAGATACTTCTTAGATGATTTACTTAGTGTTTTATTATAGAGTTTTGGAGGCATATCAATAGATGCAAGAAAGTTTGCAAATATTATGCAAGCCAATGCAGGAAATCTAGAAAAGGTCACATGCCCTAACAAATGTTGCAAAAACCTATTTCACTAACATTTTGATAAAATGTATGGGCATTTAATCATTCATGGGATGGATCTTACTTATACTACGTGGGTGTTTCATGGCAAAAAATCGAGTGCATCATTGCCTCCTCAAAATATAGAAAATCTAGAGACATATAGAATGTATAGAGATATATTTCATCAAGATGATAGTAACGTAGAACTAGAGAATGAAGATCGAGAAAAAGAATTTTCAAATTTATATGAGGGAGTTGAAATTCCTTTATATCTCGATTATAAGTTAAATTTGCTTGGAAAAATTTGTATTTATATACAAACTATCTTATATACAAAATGTGTAAAACAAATTGCATGGTATTAAAGTGATGACCCTGATTCCATTATGAGAGATGATATTTATATTCGAGGACATATGCGAAAAAAATGGTGAATCAATTAATGGTTTAGTTGGGAAAATGTTGGTATCGATATTGGTTTTTGTATATTTTGGTAATTCATTATTTGCATTACTTTAAACTATTAATTTATTTCTTGATGTCAGAAAAAAGCTTGTTAGGAAACAGTTACCTTTCTAAGTAAACATTCTTTCAAAGATGGTGGTGTTGTAAGAATACTTAGTGCAAAACATCAAGGATGGATAAGATGGCTTGGCTTTGGTGCAACTCCTTCAAAATTGAATGCTTTGGTGTATGGTCAAAACTTACAAACCCAATTTTAAGAGTTAAGAGATGAAATTAAAAAATTAAAAGCTTTTTCAACAGAAGAGTAAAAGTGTTGAACAAGAAAATCACTACAAAAAAATACGTATTTTGTGACAAAAATATTGTTACATAAATAGAGATTTTGTTGCAAAAATAATTTAGCTACCACAAGACATTTGTTGCAGGCATTGTCGCGCTATATGAGTCACAGAATGTATTTTGCTACAACTTTTAGTCATTCATCGTATTAACAAACTCGCAACATTATTCATTTGACGCAAAAAGTTTGAAATAGCAACAAGATATTTGTTGCTATAATGTCGTCGCAACGCATATATATCACAAAAAATTAAAAGGGCGACAAGTTATATTGTTGCAAAGATTATTCAAATAAAGTTTTTGCAAGAAAAATTTTGGTTGCAAATACTATTTTAATAAGATAACTTTTTTTTTTTTACCTATTTTACTCTACAACAACACGCGTTTGTAGTAATATATATTTTATAGCATGTCATTTTTTCACAAAATTTGTTTTACAATGTGTTTGATGTGTTGTAGAATGCATTTTAAGATATAATCATCTATAGTATAAAAAGAGTTCTTCAATGTGCAATTAATCAAATATAAAAAATTCCAAAATATAAAAATTCACATTATTTTCTAAATATAAAAATTCACAAACCATAGAAAACATAAATACATATAAAAAAATATTTTACTTATCGAAATCATTATCATCTTTTACTATTTAAAAATTTCGCATCTTCACGTCTTCCTCTTCCGAAATATCGTAAATAACTTCATTCATATTTTCCCCTATTGATTCAAAGTCTATTTCTAGTGATGCATTATCAATAATACATGAAGCAACATCTCCTCATGGCATTAGTGAGGGTCAAGATCTTAATGCTGTATTGATCAGAAAATATCTGATGGTTCATTTTCTTGGAATGGTTCTTGCTCACTTCTACCATCATCATTTACTAAAATGTCCCATGTGCCTCGATGTTGCACATTTTGCACTTACTTTCGTTGTGGACCCAACACTAGATCATCCATACAACATCGATGACCATAATGCATATTTTCCTATGTAACCAATGTGAAGAAGGATTCTCATTGCATATTGGATAAGCTTTGTACTCCCGGTGCTCCATCTAGAGATATTTACATGAGCAAGAAAATCATTAATGGTCCACATTAGAGATATTTCCATGAGCAAGAAAATCATTAATGGATAAGCTTTGTACCCCTAGTGCTCCTTTCGTTTTGGGACTTAGTTTTTTCCACACAACCTTTGTGACAAACTTTAAAAATGTGTCGTGCTAAATCACTTGTTGCGACAATATTTTGGATGTCACAAAAATATGTTGTTGCAAAATCACAATTTTGTTGTAGTGAATGTAAGTGAAAAACTATCGTTACTGAATGGTATTCTATGTTTCATATTCTTTTCTATATTAAAATTAATAAATTGTACTTTGATATGAATTTAATAGCATAGTGATAGAAGCTCGAATGGTTTAGATAACCTTTAGAGTAAGAAATGCAAATTTTTACGTTGGTTTAGGGAAGTCGATGTTGTTGCAAATGGTGAAGTCGCATCAACAAATCCTTGTGATCTAGTGCATCATGTAACCCTTGGTGATGAACGTTGGAGAGTTTTGGTTGATGAAGTGATTGACAATATTACCTTGGATCGTCTCACACGTGAGCTATTTCTTCTTGAAGATGCATTAGGAAATACAATTGTATGGCTAATGAGGTTCATCAATATGGATTAGCTGTAAGCACGACAAATTGTATGCTTTGCTTGTATTCTCTTTGTTGTTACTGCTTTTGAATGTCATTTACGTGCTCACTTTAATTTATTAACTATACCCTAATTTATTTTTGTGATGTACAGAGAGTTGATGATTTTTGGGACAGCAAAATTGTTGATCAAATTAATCAAAATCTATGTGGATCAAATATTTTGTACTATTTTAATTACTTATTTTTGGAGTAGTAGTCTATATTTTTGGATATTGGTATCAACTATTTGAGCAGGCTAATGATGTTCTTAATTATTATCTAAATTAACTCTATATTTCGACATTTGTATTGGTTTTATTTATTTAAATTATGGAAAAAGTGATTATACATGTGATGATATCGAGAATTATGTTCTTCAATTATATAGGTTTAATGGTTATCGAAAAATAAATATTTTTTAGAAAAAGTAAATGAACCTTATGGCGTACAAAAAGTATATACCATATAAAATTCCATCGTTTTTTACGGCATGCTCGTGCACACCATTAAAAAATGAGACGAACATTTATGACATGCAAAAATGTTTATTGTAAAAAATATTATCTTTATTACGGCATGAAGCATTTACAGCATGCAACACATGCCGTAACTAGTTCATTAATGACATACTTCTTGTTTTATACGACATGCATAGAATTCCGTAAAAAGTTATAAGTATTTACGGTATAACTTTTATTACATGCATTTGTATGCCGTAAATCACTTTTTACGACATGCATTGCATATCGTAAAAAGGAAACTTTGTTGCAATGTTAATAGCAATAATGACAACGTAGTCTCTTCTTAACAGAGTTAAAATTTAGTTTCTTAAAAATACACATGACGTGTCACTTTTTTGGAAAGCATAGTCAAAAGGGGAAGTGAACCTAAGCAAGCTCAACCTCACCACATAAACAATTTGAATTCACAAGAGAGCTAAATTATGTTGTTTTCATTTGTCTCCGTAACAAATGAAGAAATTAATTTTATCCTTATCTGTAAAAGAATGCCAACGAAATAGTGCAAGACTTTTTTTTTTTTTTTTAAATGGGAAAAAAATGACACTTTTAATTTTCAACAAATTAACTCGTATGCAAAAATGCAAATAAAGTGTTGCAT